TGGTCATTAGGCCAAGCAAAAGCATCTTTTTCTATAGGAAGGGAAAAATATCCCTCAGATTTAAAATGAGGTAACAGCTAAGCAACTTCCTGTTCTTTCTTTGTACTAGCATCAACACAAAAAGGTAAAATTTCCAACCCAGTCTTATACAATGAACTGGGTGTGGTAGCTCGCCTGTAATCTCAGCACTTTGAGAGGCCAAGGCGGGTGGATCATGAGGTCAGGAGTTCGAGACAGCCTGCCCAAGATGGTGAAACACCATCTCTACTGCAAATACAAAAATCAGCCCGGCATGGTGGTGGGTGCCTATAATCCCAGCTACTTGGGAGGCTGACCCAGGAGAATCACTTGAACCTGGGAGGCAGAAGTTGCAGTGAGCCAAGATCGTGCCACTGCACTCTAGCCTGGGCAACAGAGCAAAACTCTCTTAAAAAAAAAAAAAAAAAATTGGGCCAGGCACGGTGGCTCACGCCTGTAATCCTAGCACTTTGGGAGGTGGGCGGATCACCTGAGGTCAGGAGTTCAAGACCAGCCTGGCCATGATGGTGAATCTTCCATATGCCAAAGAGACCTCTGGAGCTCAAGTTCTTCCAGGGTTCCTGATTTCTGCCATCAAGTAGCTAATGTTGAGCTGTGGAGCAGTCAGCCAGCCAACAAGGTTTGTAATGAGAACAGCTCATTCACCTTTTTGGCTCAACTAAAAATTCCTAGGCCATCCTGTGAACACTAGAAGCACTGAAACCTCAAGGCATTTCTTACAAAACTGTTTGTTTGAGATGAGTCTTGTTCTGTCACCAGCCTGGAGTGCAGTGGCATTATCTTGGCTCACTGCAACCTCTGTCTCCCAGGTTCAAGCGATTAGCTGGGAGTAGCTGGGACTAAAGGCACCCGCCACCACACCTGGCTAATATTTTGTATTTTAGTAGAGACGGGGTTTCACCATGGCCAGGATGGTCTCAGTCTCCTAACTTTGTGATCTGCTTGCCTTGGCCTCCCAAAGTGCTAGGTTTACAGGCATGAGCCACCACGTCCAGCTGACAGAATTGTTTTAAAAAGCTGTAGTGATGAGGAGGAAAATTCATTGAAGGAATAATGGTACACATTTAATTGTGTCTTCTTTGTTCAAATGATAAAGAAGTCTTTTCAACAATAAAATTTAGTTTCTAATGTCTTTGTTTCTAATATCTATACTAGAACGACTGATGATAACTAATCTTTTCCCCATCTGCTAACAGTTCATTCCCCACTAACTAAATGGGAACTAAAGTAAGAGCTATCATCTTGACATAAGGCCCCTGTCCTATAGATAAATTCATTTAACAGCTTTCCAGCTATTCACTTTTCTATTTAAATACATGATTCTCACATAACTCAGATTCCACTTGAACTCCGCGTTGTTGAATAGAATGGAAAAGAAATTGTCATAAACACCATCAAGACTCAAAAATTTGATCCCTACCTCCTAAAACCTGGGAGAACTGAGATATGAAAACCTTAGACATAACTCTGAAGTACATTATGGATCCTCAGGGTTCTCTCTTAAAGAGTACTAAATGAGTAAGTAGGCAGTTAACGTTGTTTAATGAGCATTAAACAGACTGTTACTAATACCACACCTTTAATAACTTACTTCTCTGCTATCTTCCACCTACATGAGTGTGAATTTAGATTAGTTCCAAAGTTATTCACATTAATGAAACTTGGCGGGGGAGGTGGAGGGGAGAAATCCTACAGACTCAAGGATATTTCTGGGAAGGGGAAAAATTGGTAAGTCAGTCCTTTATACAGAAACCAGGAAGTGTTCCTAAAGTCAGTGGAAAATGGTAGTCAAGAAAACTCTTTGGGCTAAGTGCAGTGGCTCATGCCTGTAATCCCAGCACTTTGGGAGGTTGAGGCAGGATGATCACTTGAGCCCAGGACTCTGAGACCAGCCTGGCCAACATAGACATCATCTCTACAAAGTAAAAAAATTAGCTGGGCATGGTGGCATGCACCTGTAGTCTCAGCTACTCACGTTGAGGTAGGAGGACTGCTTAAGCCTGGGAAGTCGAGACTGCAGTGAGCTGCCTAGAGCCACTGCAGTCCAGCCTGGGAAACAGAGCAAGACCCTATCTCAAAAAACAGGAAACCTTTTCATTGGAGTAGTTACAAGCCTGTATAAAACTAAATCCATTAAAGTATTTCCACAAATTGAGATGAATGTTGAAGTTCTGCAGAATTTCTACAACCAATCTCAACCTCTTATCTCTTAATAGGTAGTACATTTCTGGAGGGTTTCACCATGTTGGCCAGGCTGGTATTGAACCTCTGACCTCAGGTCATCTGCCTGCCGTGGCCTGCCAAAGTGTTGAGATTACAGGCGTGAGCCACCATACTTGGCGGTTACTGTGAATCCGAAATGAAATAATATGTGTTAAAAGTGCTTAGAATAGTGCCTTTCACAGATTATTCTGTGCTAGGGGTATTGTTACAGGGAATTGTATCACACATGCATGTAAACTTTTAACATGAATCCATCAATACAACTTTGTACCAACATAAATAAATTAGTTCTAGCTTCTTGCCCTACCATACATTTATGAAATTGACCTAGAGTTTAAACACTTTTTGTATGACACAATTTTGTAAATTGAAGATTTGTATCTGGTACCTAACCAAAGAAACAGGAATCTGTTCCAAGGCTGAAGAAAAAAGTGAGGAGTTACGTATAGATTGAACCTTCTTAAGGATTTTCTCCACAAGGAATGTGGATGCTGAGTTTTATGCATGTATCGAATTTTGGAGTTAGAACTCACTGACCTCCCTGCAAATAACATGTAACTCGTTTATTTCAAGTATCTACCAATACTTGAAATATTCCTGTTTTAAACTGGAAAGGCAAAAACAGATTAAAGATAAAAATGGATGTTGAAATAGTAACCAGATAACATTTAATGAAATAAGAGGGCAGACCCTAGGCCTGGCGCAGTGGCTCATGCCTGTAATCCCAGCACTTTGAGAGGCCGAGGCGGGTGGATCACAAGGTCAAGAGATCGAGACAATCCTGGCCAACACGGTGAAACCCTGTCCCTACTAAAAATACAAAAAAATTAGCTGGGTGTGGTGGCACGCGCCTGTGGTCCCAGCTACTCGGGAGGCTGAGATAGAAGAAGCGCTTGAACCCAGGAGGCAGAGGCTGCAGTGAGCCAAGATTGCGCCACTGCACTCCGGGCTGGTGACAGAGCAAGACTCCGTCTCAAAATAAATAAATAAATAAAATTTAAAAATAAAAAAAGCCACCTAGCTTTTAAAAAAAAAAGAGGGCAGACCTTCATAGTTACTGCATGATCTAGGTAGGAGTTACTGGAGTGAATGTCCATAATTTGTTTTGGAGCTAAACTATAAAAGCACCACAAAAAGCATCCTTTGGGGAGCCCTGTTTCCAGTTAATGAATTCCCATTTGTATCAAGAGTTCCCTCAGATCATACACTTACCTCAGAATTTGCCAAGTAATACCTTTTATTTTTAAAGACAGGCTATTGCTCTGTCACCCAGGCTGGACTGCAATGGCATGATCACAGCTCACTGCAGCCTCAACCTCCTAGGCACAAGCTATCTTACTGCCTCAGTCTCCTGAGTAGCTGAGACTACAGGCAAGTGCCATTATGCCCAAGTAATTAAAAAAATTTTTTTTAAGTAGAGACAAGGTCTAATTATGTTGCCTTGGCTGGCCTCGAACTCCTAGCCTCAAGTGATCCTCCTGCCTTGGCCTCCCAAAGTCCTGGAATTACAAGTGGGAGCCACCTGGCCTGGCCTATAAGCATTTATCCATTCAAATGTTAAACTTTGCCTAATGAATAGAAGCTGCAGATATTGCCATACTGTAACTCAATCTTATGGATATGACAAGAAACTCTTGAGGTTACTGAAATAGCTGTTTTAACTACTAGAGAGAATACACAGGTGGTTCAACAGAATTTACTTGTATATTTTCCATTTTCTATACTATTTGAAGGCATAGGATAGTTTTGTATTAGCTTTCTACAATACTGTGTTTTAAATTTAACCGGTAAACTAAGATGCAGTACAACTTTTACAACTCAGGAGATTTAAAAAAAAAAAAAATCTCCACAAGAAGCAGCAACTCAGCAGGCCCTGGCGTTAAAACATTTCCCAGAATAAACAGATAGGCATTGCATTAAAGGTAATTTTCAAATCTTTAAGTTACACCAAGATTTCCCTCCCAAGTATGTGCCTTTCTCAAATCAATGGAACCAATTCATTGCTAATACTGGGGGGTATGAATTTCTGGCAAATGTTTATGGCTTTACTTTCTTCCTTAATCAAAAACCTTTTTTAAATTTTGTTTTTGAGATGGAATCTCACTCTGTAACCCAGGGTGGAGTGCAGTGGCGCAATCTCGGCTGACTGCAACCTCTGCGTCCCGGGTTCAAGTGATTCTCCTGCCTCAGCGTCCCAAGTAGCTGGAACTACAGGCAAGTGAGACCATGCCCAGCTAATTTTTTGTATTTTTTTTTAATAGAGATGGGGTTTCACCGTGTTAGCCAGGATGGTCTCAAACTCTTGACCTCAGGTGATCCACCTGTCTTGGCCTCCCAAAGTGCTGGGATTACAGGCGTTAGCCTCCGTGCCCGGCCTCTCAAAAACCTTTTAAAGTGCGACCAAGCAGCAAAACAAGTCGCATCAGTTCTCTGCTCATGGCAGAGGTGCCAACTGTGAAATTGCAAAAGGTACAGTTTAACAGTAAGTAATGCATGAAGAAACTATACCAGAGTTGGACAGAATCAAACCAGTTATGTATAGAATTATTCAATTGAACTAACATAGGTACATTCACAAGAAAGTTTGAGATTATAATTGCTATTTTGAATCCAATTTGAAGACATTCTTGATAAAATATAAGAATGTTCTTTTGAAATTGTAAATGAAACTATGAGTTGATGGAGAGCTAGAGACTTATTAACCCGTCCTATGCACATAAGGAAATAAGTGACAAAGTCTCTTGCACTGAAGTTATGTATTTTAACAGCTTTACATGTAATATTCATATATAAAAAACTTTAAGTGCTTTTTCCAATTTAAAAATCTAAAGAATTCAAAAATAAGGCATTCAATATTTGAAAAAAGTACAGATTTACAAAATGTGTATATTCTGTCATGAAAACTCCACACCAACATTATACACTTGGAAAAAAATACAAACAGGATATATTACAAATTTATGCAGCAATAACTTAGTTCACACCATGCAATAAAAAGTACATTAATCAAGATACACAAGCTTTTGTAGGTTCTAAACTGAAGGACATTTTTCTTTTTTTTCTGCAGAATCCTTAAAACCTGTGGCACTTAAAATTTGTTAGCCTTTCTACTGAGAGGTAAATTATACACAACAATGATGAAAAAGATTAACAGACCAGTTGTCTATTATGAATCATTCCAGCTTTGTTCAACAATGGCCGAAACTCTTTTCTCATATTCTCGTTTGTTTTCCTGATAAAGCTGTGCTGCCTGGCTATTGGCTGGACTGTTAGGATTCGGTTCATCCAGCAGAGACTAGGAGAAAAGAGAAGAAAAAACAGATTTGCATAGTTATTCTTTATACTAACAGGGGTCAGATATGGAATATATTAGAGAAGTTATATGAAACAAATTACTTCAGAGATCAACATGTTAAATAATTTTTGGTCTAAATACTTTTAGAAATGGTTTTATAAATATTATGAGGTTTCTTGCTGCTAAGGAACTTAAGCTTCTGAAACAAAGTTCTCAATTGCCTTAAAGCCTATAATTAATTTCAGCTGGGTACAGTGGCTCACACCTGTAATCCTAACACTTTGGGAGGCTGAGACAGGAGGAACCCTTGAGCCCAGCAGTTCAAGACCAGCCTGGGTAACACAGGATACCCTATTCCTATTAAAAAAGAAAAAGAGGCGGGGTGCGGTGGCTCACGCCTGTAATTCCAGCACTTTGGGAGGCTGAGGCGAGTGGATCACCTGAGGTGGGGAGTTCAAGACCAGCCTGACCAACATGGAGAAACCCCATCTCTACTACAAATACAAAATTAACCAGGCGTGGTGGCATATGCCTGTAATCCCAGCTACTAGGGAGGCTGAGGCAAGAAAACTGCTTGAACCGGGGAGGTGGAGGTTGCAATGAGCCAGGATTGCGCCACTGCACTCCAGCCTGGGCAACGAGAGCAAAACCCTGTTTCAAAAAAAGAAAAAGAAGAAAAAAAAACCCTATATAATTTCAAAGAAATCTGAAAAGAATATTCTTAAGCATATTGAGACTTTCTCATTAAACCAAGGAACTGAACAGCTTAATTTGGTTAACATATACTACCAATAAATCTCACAGTAACTAACACCATCCAAGGTTAAACTCTATTACTGCAGTTACTTTGCAAATGCCTGACAGTAAAAGTTAGGGGGTAAGTCTTGTTTCCTTTCATCAACAAAACACATTTAGCAGGAAGGGAATGAGATAGGAAGGTTGAAAAACTGCTTACAGGATGACCACAATTGGCCAGGCTCAGTGGCTCATGCCTATAATCGTTAACAATTTGGGAGGTCAAGACTATCCTGGCTAACACAGTGGAAGCCCGTCTTACTAAAAACACAAAAACTCAGCCACGCATCATGGCACGTGCCTGTAGTCCAGCTACTCGGGAGGCTAAGGCAAGAGATTCACTTGAACCCAGGAAGTGGAGGTTGCAGTGAGCCGAGATCAAGCCACTACACTCCAGCCTGGGCGACAGAGCGAGACTCTGTCTCAAAAAAAGAAGAGAAAAAAAAAGAGGACCAGAATTAAAGAAGTGTGAAAGAAAAAACTTTAAAAGGAACATCACAAGCCAACGTATTATTTCTGCTCCTCTCAAATCCACAAAACTAAAATACCCCTCACTCCATCCTTCCTAAATTTTTATTCAAAAATCTATTCTGAAATATTCTGCCAGACTGCTTTGGCAAATGGTTACATTACTTTTCCTGTCTTTTTTTAAGACAGAATTTATTTGATGGAGTAACATACTCAATGCTTATCTGCACCTGGCAGTTTCTTTAGGTCCCTATGGTTTTTCCAAGCAATTTTTTCTTTTCCACAACCCTTGGCTATGCTTCATAGGCACAAACTAAGTTTGACATGTGAGAGCATGTAACTTATACAATTAGGAAAGAGACTGTGGACTGGATCTCATGTAGGCACTACTGAAAGAGAAGTTAGCTGAAAATCATGGATTCTTGTCCAAGCTCTGCCATGAAGGTTAGAGTGCTCCTAAAGGAGCTGACTATATCCTACAGAATACTGACAAATTGTAATACATCCTAACACACACCTACCTGAATTGATGTTAAGATAGAAGATACATCATATGTTGGACTCCATCGGTTCTGAAGGATATCTAAACATATGCTACCATCAGCATACACTGCAAAAACAACATTAAAATTGGTTACACATTCACTTTGTCATATCTAACAGTTAAGAGAAATCTTTATAACAAACAGCTTAGAAGTTTTAAATATTAGGCACTAAACTCTTGTGTATCACAGGAAAACCTGTCTTAAAACTAAGGTCTCTTATTTTGCACCTGCTGTGGTTTGAATGTTCCCTCCAAAACTCATGTTGAAATTTAATTGCCATTAAACAGTGTTGAGAAGCGGGACCTTTAAGTGCTTAGGTCATGAGGGCTCTGCCCTCAATGAATGGATTAATTATGGCAGGAGTGGGCTCCAGATAAAAGGATGAGTTTGGCTCCATTTTTTCTCTCTGTCTTGTGTGCTCACTTGCCTGCCTTCCACCATGGGATGTCACAGCACCAAGGACCTTGCTTAGGTGCCAGTGCCATGCCCTTGGACTTCCCAGTCTCCAGAACCATGAGCCAAACAAACTACTATTGTTTATAAATTATCAGTCCCTGCTATTCTGTTGTAGCAGAAAATGAACTAAGACAGCACCTTATGATCAATAGGCTTTGAGTTAAATTTCTTCAACACATTATCATTTAACAATCTGTTTAAATTCTGTATTTCTAAATATTCTTAAATAAAGCTTTTTAAAAACTGCTTTTTTTGACATAGCAATTATACTCCTAGAAATTACTCTAAGGAAATAAACGTGGACATGCACAAAGATTGACTTACAGGATGTTCACTATAATATTATTTATAAGAGTGAAAGACCAGACACAGTGGCTCATGCCTGTAATTCCAGCACTTTGGAAGGCCAAGGCAGGCGGATAATGAGGTCAGGAGTTTGAGACCAGCCTGGCCAGCATGGTGAAACCCCATCTCTACTAAAAATACAAAAATTAGCCGGGCATGGTGGTGCTTGCCTGTAGTCCCAGCTACTTGGGAGGCTGAGGCAGAATGGCTTGAACCCGGCAGGCAGAGGCTGCAGTTATCCAAGATTGTGCCACTATACTCCAGCCTGGGCGACAGAGCAAGACTCTGTCTTAAAAAAAAAAAAAAAAAAGTGAAAAACTGGAAACTAACTACCTTGTGTTCCATAAAGGGGGAACTGAGAGGGGGCTGACTAAATAAACAACGGTACATTCATATAACCAATACCAACAGTCACCAGAAATGATACACATCTACTGTTTATATAGTAAGACATTCACAAAATATTACCTTAAAAATAAGTTTTTAAGGCTGGGCATGGTGGCTCACACCTGTAATCCCAGCACTCTGGGAGGCTGAGGCGGGTAGATCACCTGAGGTTGGGAGTTTGAGACCAGCCTCCAACATGGAGAAGCCCCATCTCTACTAAAAATTACAAAATTGGCCAGGCATGGTGGCACGTGCCTCTAATCCCAGCTACTCAGGAGGCTCAGGCAAGAGAATCGCTTGAACCTGGGAGGCGGAGGCTGCAGTGAGCTGAGATTGTGCCATTGCACTCCAGCCTGGGCAACAAGAGTGAAACTCCATCTCAAAAAAAAAGTTTTTAATTATTTATAATTCCCTATTTTGATTAAGAAGTTTTATATAAATATTTCATTTAAAGTATATGTAGTCACAAAAACATCTGTAAGACTTAATGTCAAAATATAAGTAGTGGATATACTAGTAGGATGATGGATGATCTTCCTTTATTTTTGAGACAGTTTCACTCTTGTTGCGCAGGCTGGAGAGCAATGCAATGGTGCAAATCTCGACTCACTGCAACCTCCACCTCCCAGGTTCAAGCAATTGTCCTGCCAGTCTCTCATGTAGCTGGGATTACAGGCGCCTGCCACCACACCCAGCTAATTTCTGCGTTTTTAGTAGAGACAGGGTTTTGCCACATTGGCCAGGCTGGTCTGAAACTCCTGATCTCAGGTGATCTACCCACCTTGGCCTCCCAAAGTACTGGGATTATAGGCGTGAGCCACCACACCCAGCCTTTTTTTTTTTTTGAGACGGAGTCTCAGTCTGTTGCCCAGGATGGAGTGCAGTGGTGTAATTTAAGCTCACTGCAACCTCCGCCTCCAAGGTTCAAGTGATTCTCCTGCCTCAGCCTCCCGAATAGCTGGGATCACAGGCATGCACAACCACATCCAGCTAATTTTTGTATTTTTAGTAGAGAAAGGGTTTTCCCATGCTGGATAGGCTGGTCTCAAACTCCTTGACCTGTGATCCACCCACCTTGGCCTCCCAAAGTGTTAGGATTCCAGGCGTGAGCCATGGTGCCCGGCTGACCTTATTTTCTTTACCCTTTCTTGTGTTTATGATTTATTTGTGCAATGAGTATATATTCCTTTCACTTAAAAATAAAGTGACTAACAGGTATTTAAAGTCCTAAACATGTGGGAGGGTTCTTCCCCTTTTAGACTGATTCTGTGAAAATACAAGCAATTAATGTAAATATCTGCCTAACTGTGAGACTATTTATCTGTACGATAAATTTCTAGAAGTGAACTGCTATATAAGACAAAGGGTAAATGCATTTAAATGTTACAGATACCACTTCATAACGGTGTGGGAGTGCAAATCATGCTTAAACACTATTATTCTTCAGGGCTCCATCCTAGGCCCTTTTCCTTCTTATCCTTTATACATACTCTGGGCAATCTATTCACTCCTGTGGCCTCATTTACCATCCATGTGCTCAGTACTCCCAATAGTTGGCCTTAGCCTAGTAGAGCTCTCTCTCACCTTCAAAGAAATACAGCCAATTACTGTCTGTCCCACAGAAACACCAAACTTAGCCACGCAAAGCAAAAATGAGCACCTTTGTAAAACCCATAAAAGTATAAAACAATTTTAAAGTTCTGAGTATTTTTGAGAATCCAAAAGTAAACCAGAGCTCAAATTATCTATCAACTGATGAATTGATAAAACAAAATGCAGAAGATCCATACAATGGAATATTATTCAGCAATAAAAAATGAATCACAGATACTTTATGTCACAACATAGATGAACCTTGAAAACTTTATGCTGGGTGACAGAAGTCAGTTACAAAGGACCACATATTATAAGATTCCACTTATATGAAATGTCCAGAATAGTCAAATCTAAGACTGCTAAGAGAATAGTCATGGGGCTTTTTGTTGTTTTTAAAGTGGTCACGGTGATGGTTGTGATTATGCTAAAAACTATATGAGCTATACAATTAAAGTGAACAGCTTGGTGTGTAAATTATATTTCAATAAATGTTTTTTAAAAATTAAACCAGAAAATTAAATTATAAAAAAGTACTCATAGTAAAAAGGGAATCCATGCTGTAAATATGAAGAGATGTGAAAACCAAATACACTGTTTTCTTAAAAATTTGAATTTCTTAAGTTGATAACCCTAGATTCATACCTCTTACTCATTCTAGTGTTTCCTACCTCGATTTAAAGACCTCCCTTACCATAATTGGTTTGGTTTTGACTCAATAACGAGTCTAAGCCAGACAAAGCTACAGTCTAATAAATGGTAAATGAGTTGGGAACATCCCTAAAAGGAGAAACAGAAAATAAAATTAAACCTGTCTTGGACCAAAAAAAAAAAAAAAGCAAAAATGGCAGCTAGAAGGAAAAGGCAACTTCACAGCAATGAAGCACCAAAGGTTGTATTTATCACTGGAAAGTCACCTTGCTTCCAGACAAAAAACACATCTCTCCTTTAGGTAGGGAGCTCTATAACGTATTCTGCAGCACAAGAGACACAATCAAGAGGACCTCTGAAAATGTTCTTCCTCAAAGTGAGTTGGCTGATGGGGAATATCACATTTAAATAAGCAAAGGCGGAAGAGAAGCTTCAAGACTGAAGAGGAGCTTCAAGAATTTGGAAAAGCTCTTTCACATGTTAATTTATAATCCAGAATTATAAATGTAATTAATAGATGTAAACAGCAATATGTCAAGAAAGACCAAATTTATTACAAAGGAATTAGCCATCATTTAAAGAATAGTAACTACTCTACCGAGTGAAATTTAGAACAATTCTACTGAAGGAAAAAAAATGAAAAATGATATTAAAAGCTTTAAAAACATACAAGCCTATGCCCAATAATCTTCACTTTAAAAATTTAGTCTAACTGTTATGCAGCAATTAAAAAAACAAACAGAAAACTCAGTCAAAATAATAATTGGTATCTGAAAATACTTATTTTGAGGCCAGGCACAGTGGCTCACACCTGTAATCCTAGCACTTTGGGAGGCCAAGGCAGGCGGATCCCCTGAAGTCAGGAGTTCAAGACCAGCCTGGCCAACATGGTGAAAGTCTGTGTCTACTAAAAATACAAAAATTGGCCGGGTGCGGTGGCTCAAGCCTGTAATCCCAGCACTTTGGGAGGCTGAGGCAGGCAGATCACCAGGTTAAGAGATCGAGACCATCCTGGCCAACATGGTGAAACCCCATCTCTACTAAAAATACAAAAATTAGCTGGGTGTGGTGGCGTGCGCCTGTAGTCCCAGCTACTCGGGAGGCTGTAGCAGGAGAATTGCTTGAACCTGGGAGGTGGAGGTTGCAGTGAGCCGAGACTGTGCCACTGCGCTCCAGCCTGGCGCCTGGCTACAGAACAAGACTGTGTCTCAAAAAAAAACCACAAAAATTAGCCAGGTATGGTGGCACAAGCCTGTAGTCCCAGCTACTCAGGAGGCTGAGGCAAGAGAATCGCTTGAACCCAGGAGGTGTAGGTTGCAGTAAGCCAAGATCACGCCAATGCACTCTAGCCAGCATGACAGAGCAAGTCTTTGTCTCAAAAAAAAGCAAAAAAATTTAAGATTTTTAAGAATGTTCAAAGTGCTATTTAAAGCTGTAAACAATTGAATACTATCAACAATTGGACATTGGTTAAAAATATGATAAGATCTATGTAACAGAACATTTTGCCATTAAAAATGATGTATCAGAATTTTTTTTTAATTATTATTTTTGAGACGGAGTCTTGCTCTGTCACCAGGCTGGAGTGCAGTGGTGTGATCTGAGCTCAGTGCAATCTCCACCTCCCGGGTTCAAGTGATTCTCCTGCCTCAGCCTCCTGAGTAGCTAGGACTACAAGCGCAGGCCACCACACCCAGCTAATTTTGTGTATTTTTAGTAGAGACAGGGTCTCACCATGTTGGCCAGAATGGTCTTGATCTCTTAACCTTGTGATCTACCTTGTGATCTACTCGGCTTCCCAACATGCTGGGATTATAGGCATGAGCCACTGTGCCTGGCTCAGAATATTTAGTAAGGGCAAATGTTCACAGTATATTTAAAAAAAAAAAAAAAAAAAAAAAAAAAAAGTTACCTCACTTTATATATAACATGATCCCAATTTTTTTTTTTTTTTTTTTTTTTTTTTTGAGACAGGGTCTTGCTTTGTCACTCAGGCAGGAGTGCAGTGGTGCAATCATGGCTCACTACAGCCTCAACCTTCCAGGCTCTATAAATTCTCCCACCTCAGCCTCCGTAGCAGCTGAGAATACAGGTATGCACCACTGTGCTCAACTAATTTTTACATTTTTTTGTAGGGATGGGGTTTTACTATGTTGCCCAAGCTGGTCTGGAACTCCTAGGATCAAGCAATTCACCCACCTCAGTCTCCCAAATTGCTGAATTATAGGCATCAGCCACTGTGCGAGGCCACCAACTCCAATTTTGTATAAGCCAAACTGTACTTTTTTTTTAAGGTAGGATCTTGCTCTGTTGCCCAGGCTAGAGTGCAGTGGCACAGTCATGGCTCACTGTGGCCTTGACCTCCTGGGCTGAAGTGATCCTCTCACTTCGGCCTCCATGAGGAGCTGAGACTACAGGTGTATGCTACCATGCCCTGTTATTTTTTAAAAATTTTATAGGGATGGGATCTCACTATGTTGCCCAGGCTGGTCTCTAACTCCCGGGTTAAAGCAACCCTCCCACCTTGGCCTCCGAAAGTGCTGGGATTATAGGTATGAGCCACCATGCCTGGCCAAAATTATAGTTTTGAAAAGCTAAATTGTAGTCAACAGATTTTTTTGTTGTTATTTTTCACAGTTCTACAAATAAATAGGTAATACTTTTATTTATTTTAGTGGCAACAGAATCTTGCTTTATGTTACCTAGGCTGGCCTCTTAACTCCTAGGCTCAAGCCACCCTCCTGCCTTAGCCTCCAGAGTAGCTGGGACTGACCACTGTGCCTGGCTTACATATTACCTTTTTTTTCTTTTTGAGACAGGCTCTTGCTTTGTAACTCAGGCTGAAGTGCAGTGTTGTGATCTCGGCTCAATGCAACCTCTGCCTCCCAGGTTCAAGTGATTCTCCTGCTTCAAGCCTCCTGGGTAATTGAGATTAAAGGTGCCCACCACCACACCTGGCTAATTTTTGTATCTGTAGTAGAGATGGAGTTTCACCATGTTGGTCAGGCTGGTCTCAAACTCCTGACCGCCCACCTTGGCCTCCCAAAGTGCTGAGATTACAGGTATGAGTCTCCATGCCCAACCACATATTACTTTTAATTCAGGAGTTATTAAAACAACTTGACCTCCATTTGAAAGCTTGATAAGATTCTACTACAGAAAGGAAGGCTAGAAAAGGTGGCCCATTCCTGAAATCCCAGTGCTTTGGGAAGCCAAAGTAGGAGGACTGCTTGAGGCTAGGAGTTCAAGGACCAGCCTGGGCAGCACACAGACTTTGTGTCTACAAACCAGAAAAAGAAAAAAAAATTATCTGGTAATGGTGGTCCATGCCTGTCATCCTGGCTACTTAGGAGTCTGCGGCAGAAGGATTACTTGAACCCATGAGTTTGAGTTACTCACACCACTGCACTCCATCAGGGATGACAGAGTGTAACCTTGTCTCTGAAGAAACAAGAAACAGACCAAAAATCCACAACAAAAAACATGGCTAACAGGGACACAGAAGCAACACCTATGAGTGAGCCCTACTGGTGAAAAGTAAGGGGCAAGAGCTAAAAGGAGGGAAGCAAAATTCTTTCCCCCACTATGATCTGCAAAATCTAAAAAATGCTACTTACCATTTGGATGAAACATTTTGGATAAAAACCTAACAGTTGGTGGTTTATTTGGATATTCTTCAGAAAATTCTATTACTAGTTTAAAAGTACCTAGAGAGAAAACAAAATAATGATAGTAAAGAAAAGCAGAACTTTATCTCATCAATCAGTTCTCAACTGCATACTCGTTTTTGCACAACCACATATAAGTTAGTATGTCAACTTTGGTTGGGCACACAAAACATGCTAAATATACTCTATGTTAGAGTGATAACACGCAGCATTGGCAAGCAGTTGGGGACGAGCACAATCATGTTGCTATTGGTGGGAGTGTTAACTGTCACATTTTTGGAAGGCAACTGGGCCCTAGCTACCAAGATTTAAAATGCATATTTGAAGAACTACAAATAGTTTATCATAGTTTGGAACAGAGGACGGTCAAAGGATTTTTGAGAGGGGCTGACTACCACATGGCAAAAGACTCATACTGGAGGTGTGGGTACTTATGTGATAGACTCATTCTATCCCCACACCAATCGCTCCATTTGAAATTGCCAAGAATCATTAAAGCTTTAGTATCATTACCTACTTTTGGTTATACGCCAACAAGGTACATGTTGGTCAGTCTAAATCAGCATTTAACCACTATTAACAGTTTGTCTCTATAGACTTCTTTTGGTCTTACTTAACTATCCAGATGCTGTTTCTTTAAAGGCAGTCCTCTAACTACAACCCCTTGAACATATTCAGGAAGCTGGGACTTAATCCTAATGAAGTCAATACAACTTTAAACCAGTCCAGATGTCTCTATTAGGTTCTTTCCTAATTTCATCAATGCACAGTTAAAAACAAAACAGTCTTTCTTGGCCTAAATTATAAGCTCCTGGCTTTAGTCTATTAAGATTATAGCTCACAGCTAGGTAAATATTTTATATTATATTATCGTGGTCCTATCTTTGCCATACAACCTTCAACTCCATACTTAAAAGTTGTTTGGGGCTGGGCGCGGTGGCTCAAGCCTGTAATTCCAGCACTTTGGGAGGCCGAGGCGGGTGGATCACGAGGTCAAGAGATCAAGACCATCCTGGTCAACATGGTGAAAGCCCATCTCTACTAAAAATACAAAACATTAGCTGGGTATGGTGGTGCGTGCCTGTAATCCCAGCTACTCAGGAAGCTGAGGCAGGAAAATTGCCTGAACCCAGGAAGCAGAGGTTGCGGTGAGCCGAGATCGCGCCATTGCACTCCAGCCTGGGTAACAAGAGTGAAACTCCGTCTCAAAAACAAAAACAAAAACAAAAAGTTGTTTGGAAATTTGAGACTGGAAAGACCAAAAATACCAGCAACCTAAAGTGATTTCTATTTTAGCACGTATTAATAGAATAGAGAAACTCTGAAACATTCTACGAAGTTAGCCCTAAGCCTAATTACAGATTTTTAAGTTTTCATTTTAATTTTAATTACAAAAATAACAGCTGTACAGTGTAAAATTTCAGGCAAAACCACATATGAAGCATAGCTATCCTTAAACTTTTTAATTGAAGGACCTCTTTACCCTCTTAGTCCTACCAGGACCACACTTCAATGTGAACTAACTGAACATGAAGCTGGGAAGAGATGCATGCAATAGCATACCATTTTATAGTATTTCTATTATAGAGATACAAAAATCATAATAACCTTAAGACCACCAAAGTAGTACAATGTGCCAAAATAATTAAAAGGTGATGAGGTTTGTGTATTTATCACTTTCTAATTTCTGAAAACTGAGTTTTTATATTATTTTAAAAGAATGCCTTTTTAATAACCAGCTTGCAAAAATAATGTTAACAACCGGCTCTCATGAATCAGTATAGGCCGCCTCCAGCACACCACAGGATATACTTATTGATATTTGTTGTATTAGAAACTGTAACTCAGGGGTGGGTGCGATGGTTCATGCCTGTAATCCCAGCACTTTGTGAGGCTGAGGCAGGCAGATCACTTTGAGGTCAGGAGTTTTGAGATCAGCCTGGCCAACATGGTGAAACCCATCTCTACCAAAGATACAAAAATTAGTGGGGCGTGGTGAAGCACGCCTGTAATCCCAGTTACTCGGGTGGCTGAGGCAGGAGAATCCACTGAACCCAGGACGTGGAGGTTACAGTGAGCCCAGAGTACGCCGCTGTACTACAGCATGGGTGACAAAGTAAGACTCCAAATCAGTAAGAAAAAAAAAAATAAGCTTAGAAAATCTTCATTAAAAATAACTACAGCTGGGTGCGGTGGCTCACACCTGTAATCCCAGCACTTTGGGAGGCTGAGGTGGTGGATCACCTGAGGTCAGCAGTTCGAGATTAGCCTGGCCAACATGATGAAACCCCATCTCTACTAAAAGTATAAAAATTAGCCAGGCATGATGGCACGTGCCTGTGATACCAGCTACTTGGGAGGCTGAGGCAGGAGAATGGCTTGAACCCGGTAGGCGGAGGTTGCATTGAGCAGAGATCGTGCCATGGCACTCCAGCCTGGGCAACAAGAGTGAGACTGTCTCAAAAACAAAAACAATCAAAACAACTGCAAACTCCTTACACATTAACTCAACATGTTAGGTTAAACCACAAACCCATTACACATAATATAAATGAAAATTATATTTCTCCCCAAGTTAGTGATAAGTTTAGCATTGTTTTGCATTTTTGCAACTCTCTCTTTAATGACTGGTTTAACAGAAGACAGCTGGATTCTTTCATCTGCTTCTGCACTCAGTCTGTTATAATATCTTGCTTGGTTTAAGTACAAGAAGAAAATCCAGGCTCACACAAGTATGTAATTGAAAAAAGGAATATTTTCTTTTTTGGAGACAGAGTCTTGCTCTGTCGCCCAGGCTGGTGTTCAATGGCGGCTTCCCAAGTAGCTGAGATTAAAGGCGCCCGCCACCATGCCCGACTAATTTTTGTATTTTTTAATAGAGACGGGGTTTCACCATGTTGGACAGGCTGGTCTCGAACTCCTGACCTCATGATCCACCCACCTCAGCCTCCCAAAGTGCTGGGATTACAGGCATGAGCCACTGCGCCTGGCCACACTTTTTTTTTTTTTTTTAATTGAGACAGAGTCTTGCTCTGTTGCCCAGGCTATAGTGCAATGGCACAATCATTGCGTACTGCAGCCTCAAACTCCTGGGCTCAAGCGATCCTCCCACCTCAGGCTCCTGAGTAGCTGGGATTATAGGCATGCGGCACCATGCCCAGCTTATTACATCACTTCTGAGAATATGTCTGCCGTACATTCAAACATAAATAACCACAGCTTGTCTGTCATTCTTTCAAATAAAAATGTTCCATGAAAAAAGTAGTTCAAATTGCAACTCAAACAACTGCACAAGTGCTTTTCTTCCAGACAACTATCATATTGTGACATGCAGAAGTGATTTGTTCATACATCTCACTTCATCATACAGAATATTAAAAGATAGATACTCGGATGGGCGCAGTGGCTCACGCCTGTAATCTCAGCACTTTGGGAGGCAGAGGTGGGCAGATCACCTGAGGTTGGGAGTTCAAGACCCCAGCCTGGCCAACATGGTAAAACCCTGTCTCTACAAAAATACAAAAATTAGCTGGGCGTGGTGGCACATATCTATAATCCCAGCTACTTGGAAGGCTGAGGCATGAGAATCACTTCAACCAGGGAGGCAGAGGTTTCAGTGAGCCAAGATTGAGCCACTGCACTCCAGCCTGGGTGAGGGAGCGAGACTCCATCTCAAACAAACAAACAAAAAGATAGATAACTCAAGGGTCCAGAGCTTCATACTACTAATTAAAATGCCTTGAAATTAAGAAAAACTGGCAGTTTCTTTTTTGAGACAGGGTCTCACTCTGTCACCCAGGCTGGAGTGCAGTGGCTCCATCAGGGCTTACTGCAGGCCTGACCTCTCAGGCTCAGGTCATCCTCCCAAGTAACGGGGACTAAAGGCATGTACCACCATTCCTGGCTAATTTTTTGTAGAGATGGGTTGCCCTAGGCTGGTCTCAAACTTCTGGACTCAAGTGATCCATCTGCCTCAGTCTCCCAAAGTGCTGGCTATGCAGGTGTGAGCCACTGCACCTGGCCAACTGGCATCTTTTAAAATGCAAATACAATAACTGTTAGTGTGGTTTGGTGCCACTGTCTAATGCCTTGTTGTTCTAAGATAGGAAACTGCTTAGGTGTAGTTTTTAGCCACCATTGGTTTGGTACCATCAGTGCAAATGTCAACATTCTTAGTATGATGAGACTTGACTGCAGGGGTCCCCCGAAAGTGTCTCTGAGACCCCAAGGGGTTTATGGAACACACACTTGAGAATCCTTGATGTAGCGAAAAAAGGTGAAGTCCTTAAGTACCTCCCCCTTCAACTCCTTTCCCCCACCTACAGATAATCACTGATAACAGTTTGGTATATAACCCTTTAACACAGACGCACATGTATGTATGTATTTACTGAAAATGTGATGCTACAACAAACATTATCCTTCAGTTTTTTTGTCCTCTTAAGACATTTGTCCAAATTGACCTTATTCTTTTTTTTTTTTTTGAGACAGAGTTTCGCTCTTGTTACCCAGGCTGGAGTGCAATGGTGCGATCTCGGCTCACCGCAACCTCCGCCTCCTGGGTTCAGGCAATTCTCCTGCCTCAGCCTCCTGAGTAGCTGGGATTACAGGCACGTGCCACCATGCCCAGCTAATTTTTTGTATTTTTAGTAGAGACGGGGTTTCACTATGTTGACCGGGATGGTCTCAATCTCTTGACCTCGTGATCCACCCGCCTCGGCCTCCCAAAGTGCTGGGATTACAGGCTTGAGCCACCGCGCCCGGCGACCTTATTCTTTAACAGGTACATATTCCAGAGTCCAGATACACCATAATTTGCTTAATCATTTCTCCCACTGGACATTCAGGTTACATCCTTATGAACAAATGCTGCAGTAAGTATTCTTGGATAAATATTTTTGATGGATTAATTCTGAAGTCATTTTGTTAATAACAAAGCTGCTTGATAATTTCTTAAAATCCAACACTGTAATTAGGAAAAATCTAAGTACCTGGTTAAAATCAATTTGATAAGCTCAATTATAAACACATTATTAGAACTAGTTTCCCATTTTCCTAGCTTCTGATATAAATACTCAACTTGAGATGCATAAGATTATGCAAAATGGTAACTACTTATGGGTGTTAAATGCTACAGTACTTGAAGCTACTGGCAGCTATGTATGTTTTAAGAAAAATCTCAGCTCAACACCATATCAAATATCAAAGATAACAAAGTAAAAAGCATGATTTACTCCTCTGAGGTTCACCTTAGAGATATTGTTATCAAAGCCAACTAAATTTAAACTATTCTCAACATAGACACTGCCATCTAGGCTTACAGTTCTACAGGAAAATATTAAAGTAACCCACCCCCCCCTTTTTTTTTTTTGAGACGGAGTTTCACTCTTGTCACCAGCCTGGAGTGCACTGGCCTGATCTCAGCTCACTGCAATCTCTGCCTCCTGGGTTCAAGTTGATTCCCCTGCCTCAACCTTCTGAGTAGCTGGGACTATAGGTGCTTTTTTTTGTATTTTAGTAGTGATGGGGTTTCACTATGTTGGGCATGATGGTCTCAATCTCCTGACCCTGTGATCTGCCTGCCTTGGCCTCCCCAAGTGCTGGGATTACAGGTGTGAGCCACCGTGCCTGGCCTTAAAGTAACCTTTAATATTGGTTACTTTACCAATGGATGTGACCAAGCTGATGTGGGAAAAAAAGTCCCTTATAAAGTATAAATTCTCCACAGCTTTACTAAATTTTAACTTGGCCTATTAACCTTAGAATACGGCTTCAAGTAGATATGTTGGTGTTACTATTTGCTACTAAAAACCAACCTCATAACACTCCAGAAGACATAATGAGTATCACTTACCATCTTCAAAGGGAGTCCCTTCTGGTCTGAAAACAAGAAGATTTCTGATTAAAAGAAGTTTCTCATTCTGCTTTTTGCTGACTTTCAACAGTGGAAATGATAAATTCCAACAGAAAAAGAGGGACCAAGTCTGATGACTTGTGGAGTTTTAAGATACAGCTTAATAACACCTTAGCCCTGGATTTTCGTAAACACAGGCATAAAGTACAACTTTCATTCTAAGCTTTCTTTTTAGGGTGTTTTTACCAAACCAAGCAAAAAAACTTGCCCATAATTTTAGCACAAAAAACTTCCAGTTCATTAATACTGACCAGTCATTTTGTACACATGTATATTTTTTGTTTGTTGTTGTTTTTTGTTTTTTCTTCTGAGAAGGAGTTTCACTCTTGTTGCCCAGGCTGGAGTGCAATGGTATGATCTCGGCTCACTGCAACCTGCTCATCCTGGATTCAAGGGATTCTCCTGTCTCAGCCTCCAGAGTAGCTGGGATTATAGGCATGCGCCACCATACCTGGTTAATTTTTGTATTTTTAGTAGAGACGGGGTTTTACTATGTTGGTCAGTCTGGTCTTGAACTCTGACCTCAGGTGATCCACACGCCTCAGCCTCCCAAAGTGCTGGGATTTCAGGCGTGAGCCACCACGCCTGGCCACATATGTATATTCTTAAGAGAAAAAGTCATCTTTTTATTTTACAGCAATAAGATGGAAAGCAATACTCTTTAGTTATGATGCCAAACCCAAGTGTCCTGCTTTCCAACAGATGCATAACGCTTGTTCAAATAAGCTAAGCATAGTTGCTGTCACCAAAACGCCAGATTCTCTTGCTCAGACCCTTGCCCCCACATCCCAATTTCATACTTCCTAAGCAGCAGCATAAAGTTTAATCATTACTTGCAAGGCATATTCAGGATATCAAAGTAGCCAGATAATAGCCTGAATATAACAGAAGTGCTTTATGAGGGTGAACCTCACTCATTTTCCACTAGTCTTTAAATGTAGACTCTTGTAGCTCATCTATAGTGTCAGAATTCTGTTTATCAACATATTCCTTTTACTTTTGAATGCATATCTCGAGTTTCAAAGGAATGAAAGAAAAAACAGATCAAGTCTAGAAAAACCAAAAAAAAAAAAAGCATAAGAAAACTTTAATGTAAAAAGCATATATACAACATATATAGTAGGTAAAATTTATGACTGCTTCTCAAATGGCTGCATTCTGCTATTTCACACTGGGCTGTGAATCACTTTCACTTAAATACTTGCCACAGTAGAAGTTCTTAATATTTTTGGTTCCAAATCTTGTAATAGCTCCAACAGAATGAGAGCATTTGCATGGTATATTTTATACAAAATAATTTATCTTTTCTCCTTTATTATTCCATTCCATTTAGTTTTGAATAGTATTTTAAAAGTAAAACCTGAAGCGATTATAAAACCCTACGTAATAAAAGAGCAAATAAATTTTATATAACTGCTGAAATTTTTTTCCTTTTTAATTTTGAGACACAGGGTCTTGGCTCTGCTGCCTAGGCTGGAGTACAGTGGCATAATCATGGCACTCAAACTCCTGGGCTCAAGTGGTCCTCCTGCCTCAACCTTCCAAGTAGCTGGGACCACAGGTGTGCACCACTATGCCCAGCTAGTTTTGTACTTTTTGTAGAGATGAGGTCTCACTATGCTGCCCAGGCTGGGCCAAAACTCCTTTTTTGGGGGACGGGGAGAGAGAGACTCACTGTCTCATTATATTGCTCAGGCTGGTGATGAACTCCTGGGTTCAAGCCATCCTCCTGGGCATGAGCTAAAATTCTAATTTAAAAAATTTTATTCTAATTTATCTTGTAGTTTTAGCCCTTAAGATCTCTCATTCCACCCCAGTTTCTTTTCCTAGGCAGTTGTTATGTATTCACTTAAAGATTCAACACACACCTATTATAAACCTTTCAACTCACCCAAATATAACTGCATTCCACTGCATGATGTTGTTTTCAGATGGTGCACCACTGACACCCACAGGTGGGTCCTCTTGTAACCTAGAAATCCAGAGTGGTAATTTAAAAAGTTGAACATTAAGGCCACTAAGGAGGCCACATAAACACCTACAGACACTATACCATCTACTGTGACACAGAGACTAACTCCATTTCCTTATTGTGAACTAAAATGAACTCTATGACTTAAATATATTAAGCAGGTATAAACACTTATTAAATACCTCTCCAAATTATCTAAAAATGTAAAAGGCTTAAGAATCATCCCTCTTTCAATATTATCAAGATTATTATCTCTTCAAGAATTGATGCATACAGACTGTCCTCTTAAACCAAAAAAAGTTTAAAACCTCAAAAGCAAATAGTATTTTTACAGAACCATCGATTTTGCTGCTCTAAACATCCAAAGACTGTGTGTCTTAACCACAGGTACTTCTGCAAAATGGCTTAAAAAAAAAGAAAAAAGCAAACCTCAGTGTAAACACTAAATGACTGAAAACACATTAATTACGAAACTAGTATTAGGCAGATTTACTTTATCCCTTTTGCTTCAAACAGCAATGGCTTTAAAAAGTAATTAAAAGGTTTTCCGCCAGTCCCTATTTTAAGGCTCTGCACTAACACCAAATCTACCTCTCAGATCATGAGACTCAATACAAGGCTTTCCAATATTCCTCAAATTCTTGTAAACTGCAGACCTCTGGAAAACTTCAAAAGGTGTCACATATTCAACTCAGAATTAAGCAGAGCATTACAGTAAGAAGCCAGGGCGACAATGACATGAACTAAATTACTATTTGAATTTTAGTCACGAGTGCCAGGCAAATACACTGATTTCAAGCTTCAGAAAGATGACTTTTGCACAAAAAAGGGCATCTCCCTTCAGAGTCTGTAGCTGCAATGAAAAATGCTACATCATACACACAAATAAATATGCAGTCGTTTTCATGGGGCATCACACTTTGCAACTAGTCCACATTAAAAAAAAAAAAATGGTTTTTCATCAATTTCAAGCAAATTAGGCCACTACGAACAGAAGCCTCACAAGAACTGCACTGCTTGACGCCTACCTTTAAATGGCTAAGAGAAGCTACCAATGAATTAAATAAGTTGGCCAAAGCCCAAAACAATGGATGGCTTCCAAATGCTTCACATAGGCTTTATCATGGCTGAGTTTAGAGGCGACTTCCTGAGCGACAAATCTAAGTTTTTAGGCCAGATATTTTGTCTCAATTAGGGAAGGTATCCCCAGAAAAAAAAAATTAAGAAAAATGTGCAGAGTATCAAAATGCTGTTTTTTCACTTATGTTTTCTACATCTCTAAGTATCCAATTAAAGGTAAACAACGGACTAATCATTTTCTTCCTCACAACCCCAATACCTCCTAACAAAACCCTATTTACCAAAGGAGGCCCAGGGAGTATCAAATTAGCGCCAGTCTAAGGGAAGGCATTTTTCCAGACTCGGGAGGCTATAGATAGGGCTTTCTTCAGCAGCCAGAGCTGAGTTCCAGCAGGCACTGGCAGCCGGGGTGGCCAGCTCTGAGGTCCCAGATCTCTAAGTCCGTTCCCAAGGTCCTTTCAGGCGGGCGGGGACAGAGTCGGGTTTCGGGGGATGGGTTAAGCTCCGGGCCTCACGCACTGGACCCCACCCTCACGGCAGAAATGGAAAGGACTGGGGCGTGGAGGTGGGGGTTCGCCCCAACCCGGCTCCTAGGAGAAGACGGCTGGGCGGTGACACAAAGCTGACTGGTGCAGCCGGCGAGGAACAAGCTCCCGCAGGAGCTCACTTTGAGAGGACAAGAAGAGGGCGCCGCAGGGTGCAGGGGCGGGTGGAGAAGTCTGATCGCCGGGCAGCCGGCCGAAATCGGCAGCAGGGAACCCTAGGCCAGTCGATCGACACCGTTTTACTTTTGGGGGGGAAGAGAAGGAGTATCGAAATTTATTCGGCCGCCAGAGCTACAGGCAAGGATAAGGGAGTGAAAGCAGAGGCTAGGACCCGGCTTCCGCCAGTTCCGCTGGGCCCACAGCCGGCCCTCGGAGGATCACAAGGGGAAGGTGTCCGGAATCCCCACCCTGCAGCCCCGCAGCTTTGAGGGGCCGTCATCTAGGCGGAGGTGAAGGCCCTTACCGCTTGAAATCCCGCATGAGCCTCCTCCGGGCCGGGGTCGACATGCTCCCCAGCTGCCCCGCGGTCAGTCTGAAAGAAAAGAGTCCCGCGCAGCCCCCCCACCCCCCGGCGCGGCGGCCAAATCACTGTGGGTAGCCGCCGCCGCCGCCGCCGCCGCCGCCACCGAGACTGACAAACAACCCTGCAATGACGTCTCCCTCCGCCGCCTCCGGATCCCTCCGCCCTCCGCCCTCCGCCGCTACCACAGAAGAGCGCTGGGGGAGGAGGGGGCGGGACGCGGGAGCGGGCGTTCCCGGATCCCTCCTGTGGGACTGGGTTCAGCCTGGGATTCCTGAAATGATCGACACGTTTGTGTACTCAGTGCTCACACTAGAGGTTGTGGATTCAGAGACCACGGAACCAAAACACTATCCTGTCTCCCTCCCCGTCATTAGTTTAGGCTAGGCGGGGTGGAGAGAGGGGGACTCATCCGGGCCAGAGATTTCAGGGAAAGGAGGTGGGATGACGTAAGATCACGTGACTGACCGTGGCCTTGTCAACAATCCACCCCTGAGGGGGAGGGGGAGAAGTATCTAGAACCACGTGTCCCTATGACGCATTTAAAACGGGTCACGTGAAAGCCTCTCCTGGATGTGAGTTTCAGCCAGGTCTAAGAACCGGGTTTAAGGGGGCTACACCTTTATTCGTTGTTTCCTGTTTATTACAGGTTAGAGACAACAGTACCCAAGAGGTCATGGCAGAATCAACAGCTTGTTTTGTTTTCTTTAAACCAGGACCAAAAATAATTCCCCTCTGGTGGGTTCAGTGGCTTATCAACTCTGGTATTGGGGCAAGAAGAGTGAGAGGACTGCATGATCTTCTAAGGCAGCATTGAATGCTGAGGCCCACACAACAACCTCTTGAAATGCTTCCCTGAAGCTACCAAATAGTCTTTCGGCTTTGCAGTGGGGTTTCTAGTATTGGAAATGTTGGGCAAACATTAAAGGATGGTGTATTATGCAGTTTTTCCTTTCTGGGTCTGCCTTCATTTGAAGATATGTGTCAGAGTCCGGGACTTGCCTATGGCGGGGGGAGGGGGGTGTACCATTGTATTTTTAAGGAATGTGGGGTTGCAGACTTCCAGGCATATCAATGAGTGGTTGGTTGTCAAAGAAACCTACAAATATGATTCATACCTGGGGGAGAGATCCTGTAGACATGCGTGAGGGTTATAAATCTAGCCTGAGATAACTTCAGGTTTTCCGTGCTAGCAAGTAAACTGCAAATGGGCCAGAAGTGCCCACTCATCCCCAGGGGGTTCAGAAGTGTTGACTTCCCACAGACCTTGAATATTTTCTGTAGTTACTATCCTTTCCTCTATTGCTTCCAATTCCTACCTTCGGGACTTTGTTATACTAAGGACTCTGAGTACTTTTGTATCCATTTGGGGAATCCTTCAGCTCAACAGGGAAAGGGAAGGTGGAATGAAGACCTTTGCATTGTCTCAACCTTGCCCATAGTTCCATGGAAGCAGAGTTAACTTTTCCGACTTTCCTTCCATCTTCCTTTCTTAAACCTTGAATTCTCTCTCTGCTTCCAGTGACTGCCTTGGTGATTAAGTTATCCAGGCCTAACTCTTGATAGGTCCTGTTAAACATTCACGTGTGTTTTCTTTTCTTTCTTTCTTTTTTTTTTTTGAGATGGAGTTTTGCTCCTGTTACCCAGGCTGGAGTGCAATGGCATGATCTCAACTCACTGCAACCTCCGCCTCCTGGGTTCAGGCAATTCTCCTGCCTCAGCCTCCTGAGTAGCTGGGATTACATGCACGTGCCACCATGCCCAGCTAATTTTTTTTGTATTTTTAGTAGAGAAGGGGTTTCACCATGTTGACCAGGATGGTCTCCATCTCTTGACCTCGTGATCCACCCGCCTCGGCCTCCCAAAGTGCTGGGATTACAGGCTTGAGCCACCGTCACGTGTGTTTTCTAAGTCCCTTCCAATAGCAAAAGAGAAAGATACACATGTAGGGTTACACGGAGAAAAATGGTCAAGAGAAACTGTATCTTAAAAATATTCTAGGCCGGGTGCGGTGGCTCAAGCCTGTAATCCCAGCACTTTGAGAGGCTGAGGCGGGTGGATCACGAAGTCAAGAGATCGAGACCATCCTGGTCAACATGGTGAAACCCCGTCTCTACTAAAAATACAAAAAAATTAGCTGGGCATGGTGGCACGTGCATGTAATCCCAGCTACTCAGGAGGCTGAGGCAGGAGAATTGCTTGAACCCAGGAGGCGGAGGTTGCGGTGAGCCGAGATCGCGCCATTGCACTCCAGCTTGGGTAACGAGAGCGAAACTCCGTCTCAAAAAGAAAAATTCCTCATGAGCTGAGGCATTAGCTCATGCCTGTAATCCTAATACTTTGGGAGGCCAGGAGTTTGAGACCAACCTGGGCAAAACAGGAGATCCTGTCTCTGCAAAAAGTATAATTAGCTAGGCGCGGTGGCACACACCAGTAGTCCCAGCAACCCGGGAGGCGGAGGCTGAGGCAGAAACATCGCTTGAGCCGAGGAAGTTGAAGCTGCAGTGAGCCATCATCGTGCCACTGAGACCTTGTCTCAAAAAAAAAAAAAAAAAAAAAAAAAACCAGCAAAAACCAAAAACCAAAAAACCTTGTAATTTACCAGTCAAGGCAGTCACTGAAAGCAGAGACAATTCAGGGTTTGCAGAAAGGGAGGTACAAGGAAAGTGGAAAAAGTTAACCCTTTCTGCTTTCATGGAACTATGGGCAAGATTAGGACAATGCTGAGGTCCTCCTCCTACCCTCCCTTTCCCTGTTGAGCTGAAGAATTTCCTAAATGGATACAAATGTGCTCAGAATCCTCCTGACTGACCAACGAAGTCCTGAAGATGGGAACTGGAGGCAAGAGAGGTAAGGAATTCAGTGACTACAGGGATTTACAATTGTTTTGGAAACAGTTTATTATTTTCCAAAATGAAATACTTTTCCTAATTCAGTGAATCTGCATCATAAAGTCTTACAGTTGTGTATTAGCAAGAATCGCTGGCTGTCCTGGTTAACCAGGCCTGCCACAACCTACTTGTAGAAGGAATAATTTTAAAGCTATCAGTTGTATGCTGTTATCAATTCCCTAGCTCTGGATTATGAACTCACTGAGAGCAGGGAAGGGACTCCGTTTGGCTCATTTTTCTCCTGGGAAAATTTTTTCTTTTTATTTTTTGCGACAGAGTCTTGCTTTGTCACCCAGGCTGGAGTGCAGTGGCGAGAACAGGGCTCACTGCAGCCTTGACCTTCCAAGCTCAAGCAGTTCTTCCACTTCAGCCTCCCAAGTAGCTGGAACCACAGGTGTGCACCACCACGCCTGGCTAATTTTTATATTTTCTAAATTTTGTAGAGATGGAGTTTCGCCCTGTCTGGAACGCCTGGGCTCAAGCCATCGTGGTCTCCTTGGGATTACAGGTATGATCCACTGTGTGCAGCCTCCTTGCAAATATTTAGCCCACAATAATATGCTTACGCCAAGTTTGAGCCCACTGTAAGATTTACTGCGACATTCTTACTTATAGACGGCATTTTATATTGTGGTTCAGTAACGTTCAAAGGAAAGACAATAAGCCATGACCACTTCTCCTTTCTCTCAGTATAAACCCTAGCAGCATGGAAAACTTGAGAAGCTTTAAAAATGCTAACTTATTTACGCTATCCTAATTAAATGAGGCTCTCTGGGCACGGGTGTGGACGTGGGGATTGTGAGTTGCTTTCAAAAAGCCCTCCAGGTGCGATTTAAATATGCATGATGGGGTGAGACCCACCGGACTAGAATTAATGCTTTTTCTCTTATTTAGGGGAAGCATAGCGAGATTTCGCCTTTTACATTTAAGTCATTTTACAGAAAAAAGAAAAAAAAAAAAGCTCTATTCAATTTAAAAAAAAAAAAAAGCACTCCTTAGGGACTTGCTCTAGTGATGTGGTGGTTATTCATTAGGGACTGTCACTCCAGCTGAACTCTGTCTACTTAAGCAATTAGACTCCGGCCTCTTTATTTCTGTGCCCTTGTACATCACTTCCTATATGGCAGAACCCTTCGAATTACCTGCTTGCCCAGAGTTTGACGCGGTGAGGGAGGGTTCTTTTTTTTTTTTTTTTTTTTTTTTTTTTTTTTTTAAAGATTACTAACAGTTGGAAAAAATTAAAAGGCATATGGTACGTGTTCAAGAAGTTTTTGATTTAAGAACCATGTTGAGCCGGGCGCGGTGGCTCAAGCCTGTAATCCCAGCACTTTGGGAGGCCGAGGCGGGTGGATCACGAGGTCAAGAGATCGAGACCATCCTGGTCAACATAGTGAAACCCCGTCTCTACTAAAAATACAAAAAATTAGCTGGGCATGGTGGCACGTGCCTGTAATCCCAGCTACTCAGGAGGCCGAGACAGGAGAATTGCCTGAGCCCAGGAGGCGGAGGTTGCAGTGAGCCGAGATCACGCCATTGCACTCCAGCCTGGGTAACAAGAGCGAAACTCCGTCTCAAAAAAAAAAAAAAAAAAAAAAAAAAAAAGAACCATGTTGGCAAAGCGTGACGGCTCACCCCTGTAATCCCAGCACTTTGGGAGGCCGAGGCGGGCAGATCACCTGAGGTCCGAGTTTGAGACCAGCCTGGCCAACATGGTAGAAACCCCGTCTCTACTAAAAACACAAAAATTAGCCGGGCGTGGTGGCGCATGCCTGTAATCCCACCTACTCGGGAGGCTGAGGCAGGAGAATCATTTGAACCCGGGAGTTGGAGATTGCAGGGAGCCGAGATTGCGCCACTGCACTCCAGCCTGGGCAACACAAGAAGACTGTCTCAAAAAAAAAAAAAAAAAAAAAAAAAATATGCCGGCGCTCCCCACCGCCATTCAAAAGTAACCTTCTGAGGCGGCTCGGCTGCGATAGCAAGCTGTACTGCCCACCCGATTCCCAAATACTCTTCCACCTTGCGCCTACCCAGAACAGGTTCCGTTTCTTCTCACTTTCCCTTCCGGGTCGGGACCTTGACCACGTTCCGCTCTTGCGCACTAGGGCTAGAACGCAGCAACCCCACCGCCGTTTCCATGGTAGCGAGTGGCCGGAGCCTTGGCTAGGACCTAACCAACAAAGTAGGGTCAGTGTTCCGTGGCCCCACTGGAACTACGCAGAGCCAGGCCAGCGGGACCACAGAATGGCTGAG